AGCTTTCATTCGGTGGACCAGCCGTTATTCTTGGTCAGCAATAGGCAATTCTTGTCCTGGTGGACCACTGTCCTACACAGATTAGAAATATTGTAAGGGATGGAGCTAAACTCTGCAGGAGAGTAGCCCTCCGGAACGGGAATTACCTATCCTTGGTCTAAGTGGACCAGTGCCACCTTGTGCCTTGTCCCACTATGTAGAAACATCCACAAATTCACTATAACATGAAACGGCATACAGAGAGTTCTCAAATGTTTGCTAAGTATGTGTGTTTTTAAGTTTGTTTGACCTCAGAGAAAAAGAGTCAAGAACTATGCAGTGCTTGACCTCCTCAAGGACACAGCAGGGGACACACAGCTAGCTGTAGGAAAGCACTTTAGGAAAAGAGAGCCACTGGTGCGGTTAACACAAAAAAAAAAGAAAAAAGAAAAAAAGGGAAAAGGAAAAAAAAGATGAAAGCTCTCTAAAAGCCGATGATGATGACTTCTATAAATAGCAGAAATGAAAGCATGGCATGTGGTGGGCTAAGCTAGCAGGCTGCTTGAAGAAGAAGGATTGCGCTTTGGAGGCAGTGTTTATTTGGTTTAATCACAGTGATTATAGCTGCTGACAAGAACATATCAGTTAATGTTCCATTCAGCTAACAGTTCATTCTGAAGCCTATTGACTGTAAATCATTCTTATAAGGAAATTTTGAGTTATATCAGGCATACCTGCATGAATTATATATATATATTTTTTAATACAGCCATTAGGCTTTAGTAAATTCAGGTGGTATTGGGGGAGGGACATTCTCGTCCTAGTATTTGGTCAGACAAAAGTCTTGGTAGTACCAGATAAGTCATCAAAAATTTTGGTCCATTGTCCCAGAAGAGAAATTAAAATGAGAAGAAATTAAAAAGGAGAAATTAAATGAATGAGAAGAAATTCAATGTAAATACATAGGCCTGCTATAGATGTTTATCTTTCAAATAAAATGTAGCATCAGCAAATAAGCATTGTCATGATGTCATTTTCTGCTGCTTCATATTAGTTCTGATGAAATACCATGTCAGATTGAACTTTATTTGGCTGGATTGTTTTGGCTGTCTGTCCCTACTGGTAGATGCTGTAAATACAGGTAAAAATCTTATTAGCTTATTTTATTAAAAGTATGTATTTTTAATTCATTTATGCAACTTTTGGAAATACATATTGTTCTAAACCAGTTTTTCAAAGAATAGTAACTTACACATGCCAAAGCATTTTGTCAGAATTCACAAATACATTAATACTTGAATGGCACTCAATAGAAAATGATTTTTACCTGTATTCAGCATCGGCCTCAAGGGGCCCAGCCACCTCGATCACTGTGCCCCCTCATCTCTGGTGCCATCTCCGGAGTGGGTGACCTTAATTTAGACCATGTCCACACGTACACGGGTATTTTTATAAACTGAGTTTTTCCTTCTTCCGTTTTTAAAAAAATCTCCGTCCACATGAAAACGCAAACGCATGCTATGAAGCACTGTCAAGAGCATGCCAAACCAACAGGTGGCGATATAATCTTAACCGTAAAGCCATGTTGGCCAATCAGAAGCCTGAAAAAGTTTCCAGTAGGCGGAGATAACAGCGCAGGCTCCGACGTCACAAGCCAAAAACTCCGGTTTTGCTGTCTACACGATAACACTGCAACCGGAGTTTTTGAAAATCTTCACCCTGGCAGGCGTTTTCAAAAATGTTCGGTTTCAGTGACCTGGTGCTGCGTTTGCGTGTGTACAAACGGCCAAACTGCATAGAAAAAGCTGCGGTTTTAAAAATAACCGCGTTCGTGTGGACAGGGCCTCAGTCTATGAGGCAGGCTACTGCCCTGAGAAGATCTCCCACTCAGAAGTAGGAGATGGGGAGTGGATGGGTGGATGGGTGTAGGCTGTCAAAAACATGGATTAAAAGCAAAATGTTTTCATTTCAGTTCGTTCTTAGCAAAAATATTTTTTTCGTTCAGGTTCCAGAGCAAAATAAGAACAGAACAGTGTATAAAGAATAAAGATGTATAAATAATTCTAATAATCTTTGCTAATATTCTTGAATCTTCAAACTGCTAACACTTTGGAATTATGCCTTTACTGTATGACCAAAAATGACTGAGTATTTTATGCTTCAGCTTTTTGATCGTGCCGGCACCTCACATGCACACTACAGTGGATATAGAAAAGAATCACCTCCCTTTAAAATAATCACATTTTGTTGCTTTGCAGCCTGAAATGAAGATGGACACAGTTTTTGTTTTATCCAGCTGTATTTACTCAACTTATAACAAGTGAAAGATATAACACCAACATGTCAGAAATGTTTTTTTTTTTTATTATAAACCAGAATCACTGAGTTGGAAAAAGAATCACCCCCCTCCTACAAATGACTTGCAAACTCAATCAGGTGTAGCTAATCACCTTCTCAATGGCACACAAAGCCATTTGACTTTAAACTGTGATCAGCTGTGTCAATGCCTCCTCACTTTGTGACCCTGCCTGTATTTACATCATCTACCAGCAGGGGAAGACTGACAGCCTGTTACATTGAATATCCTGTCACTCAGAAATATGTAAGATTCCAGAAGAAAAAAGGGGTTGTGAACAATGTTTTATCTTGATTTTAATCTGTGGGAATAGCTAGCAGATCAAGAAAGTTATCACTTCAACAAAATAACACCCTAAACCGCTCTCCATCATACAGCAGTGGAAATGGAGAGTTAAGAGTCACATGGAGATATCCCTTCTTCTGAAGTGAGCCGAGAATAAATCCCGCCATCCTACACCTCCTCCTCCTCAAAGAAGTCGCTAAATGTTGCCAGAGACAAAAGGGCTCCCCTCTAGGCAAGCTGCCAAAGAACAGAGGCGCAGGGAAAACAAAAAAGTTGTACTTCCCACGACTATTCGCTATAGTCAGGGCAATCAGACTGAAAACATGTGTTCTCAACATGCCTCACTTGTGGTTGGTTTCACTTCAGAGACCTTAGCTTAAGAAGGAAGCCTAGTTTCAAAGGACAATACACTGAATGCTGCCAGTCATCCCGTTGAGAGCGGGGTTGTGTAAATATATTGCTCTTACCTAAGTCTCATTAAGATGAAGAAAGATGGCTCAATTATGCTCCCTGAAATATTATTACTGAAGCCATATGTACGCAAGGAGCACTACCGGGGTTCTGTCAAAGACTGCACAGACTAATTCAGCACACTGGCAGCTGACGCAAGCAAGTTTTCATGGGAAATGATAGAGCCTATTAACACAGTCACGATGCCAGTCGTTGAATTTGAGCAACAGAGTTGAAGAGGGAGGTAACCTTGTCAGACATGACAGTGACATACAGCTGAATTATGAGTCATACGCTTTGATCATGTGTTCACACACAGCTGTGGATAATCATCTTCAAGTTTTTTTGTGCATAGTTAGCAAAACCTGTCCGCAAATTATATATACATGCTAAAATACCTGCATCCATAGCTTTGGAGATGGATTTGGAGATATGGATGCTGTCTCTGTTGTAGCGAATCAGCTCAAAGGGGGAATATGCATAATTAATCATAACTAGTTATAATTAATTATAAATATTTAGATCTGCTGTAAGTATTTACTTGACCTCTCAGGGTCAACTGTCTGTCAATTCTAAGAACGTTAATTTCCTGGTTAAGGGAAATAACTTTCTTACCGTACAATACTACACAGAGCATGTATACGCCTCTCAGGATGGGCTTATCCAATGAGAAAAGCTGAAATTCCAAGCGGGAGTTTGGAAATACTGGGGAGTTTTATGACCCTTTGCGTGAGAGCATGGTAATTTGCATATGGAACTTGAATCAAAATTATTAAAGATTTTTAGAACACTAATATATTGCCAGTGTACCAACATATAATATACACTCTCGTTTAGATCATCAGAAGACGAATTCATAGATACTAAACATGGTAGGATTCCATATAGGTAAGATGACATGAACGAGTGGTTCTATCATAAGCCTGCATAAAACAGTAAACAATATAAAAGACAATATACAAGGACAGTAACAACATACACAATGACCTGAAGGATATGCGTGTTCATTCAAAGAAAGGTTTTCCTATGAATTAATTAGAGAACAGTCCATTTCTCTGGGCATTATGTGTCTTTCCTATGAGGAAAATGAGTGAGTTTCTCTGCCCGCATTCCTTTGGGCAATAAAACCAGTGATATCAGCATTGGTTGCCATGGAACCAGAGGCCTGTTCTGCCTTTCGGAGGTGTTAGATGCATTTCGGGGGAAGGGTCCATAGACCCTCGTTATTGGCCCTTTGTTTAGGTGAGGGGGTGTTAGATATTATTTGTTAAATATAACAAATAGTTGTGTGTCTGATTGGTCCAAATGCTACACGGTATAAAAACACTGTCAGTATAAAACAGCATGCTCATATTATTGTCAGACTTTGTTCCATGTTTTGCTCCCCATGTGCCCTCCATGCCCATATTTGGTTAGTTTCCTGTTTCTGTCCTGATTATGTTGATTTAATTCCAGGTGTTCCCCATTTATTTCCATTGATCCCAGGTGTGTCTAGTCATTCCCTCCTCTTGTCATGTGTTTAAATAGTGTTCCCTGTTTTTAGTTCAGTGTCTGGCATTGTTCATGTCTACATGTGCTACGTGAGTTTTCTGTGTTTCCTTGATATATAAAAATTCTCTGGATTGATGTACTCCTCATCTCCCTGCTCTGCACTCCACTCAGTAGTGCAACCGTGACAGAATACCGGACCAAAAAAAAGATGACTGCAGCTAAGGACGCGCTGTGGGGTTTGCAGCAGGGCGGTCTGAGGTTGGAGCGATATGTGGAGGGTTTTCTCGAGCTCTCTAACCGGGTGAGCTGGCACGATGCCGCTCTAGGTGCATGCTTCCTTGCGGGGGTTGGATGACGAGATAATCCGCTGTGATCTTCCTACGTGTGATTTTTCCCCTGATCGAGTTGATTAATCTCGTGCTGTTCTTAAATGGTTCAGATTTCGAAGTTGAAGAAGTAAAGAAACTTCCCAAGCCTCGTCATCCAACTCCCGCCGGAACGCGCCACGTCTCCCCAGCTCACGCCACGCCGAGAACCTCCACATACATCCACTCAGTAGTGCAACCGTGACAATTATAAGCAAATCTATTTATAATTAAAATGTAGAGCACTAAATGTTCTAGAAAAGGCATGAAGTACAACAAATGGAAAATGGAAAATTTGTGTGGCAAGTGCCTACTCTACCAACATCTTTTGTGTTCAGGGTTGGCTAAAATATGCTTGCTTTATTCCCGTTCCTTTATAATTAGTTGCTCTTGGTCATGGATGTTATGGTGTCGGTTTTATTTTTCATTAAAATAATGCATTATAAATTAGCCTGTAAATAAGCACTCTTTTGAAGCCAACACAAAATAGACAGTGTGGATGTAACTGCACATGGCAATGAAACAGCACCTCAGATCTGCTCCTCAGTCAGCAGTGTTTAATAATGTTGGCTGTTGTTGCCTGTTAATACCTCATTAATTCAATTTAACAAAGAGTGAAAAATTGAAGGGGGTCTGAATACTTTCCGTACCCACTGTATATATATATAATATTGTAGCAAATTAGCTCAAAAGGTAAACGTGTATATAAACAATAATTATAATTAATTATGTCAGCTGCCAGTAGTAACCGTTGCAGAATTAATATTACCCTCAACTAATTGTCACGGAATGCCAGGAGAAAACAAGGTAGATCCGAATGCAGTACTTTATTAAAGTAACAAATAATCAGAACAGAACAAAAACTTGGCAAAAGGTAACTTCAAACACAGGGAACAGAAAAGACAACGTAACCTCAAACAATACTGCAGCAAAGACAGACAGAGTGAGCATGGTATAAATAGTGATGGGATGATGAGTAAATTACTAACAGGTGATCATGATCAGAACAGAATGACAAGGCAAAGGACTATGGGAAACAGAGTTCAAAACATGTAACAAAGAAACAGGAAGAGCGCCCTCAAGTGGCCAGTCCAGGGCACCACAACCAGAGACTGTGACATTACTCGCCCCTCTACGGAGCGGATTCCAGACGCTCCACCAGAACACACAAAAGTTCAGGAGGCCTGAACTGGAGCAGGCTCTGAATTGGACCTTATGAGCTCCCGGACTGGAGCGGGCTCAGGAGCGGACTCAGAGGGCTCCCCGATTGGAGTGAGTTCCTTAAGGAGCTCTGTGGGCTCCTGGACTGGAGCGGGCTCTGGAGAGGACCCTGTGAGCTCCCGGACTGGAGTGGGCTCTGGAGTGGACTCTGTGAGCTCCCGGGCTGGAGCGGGCTCTGGAGTGGACTCTGTGAGCTCCCGGGCGGGAGCGGGCTC